TGTCCAACTGCTCGTTAACGCAAATTTCTAATCAGCCAATCACATGGCAGCAACTCAAAGTATTTAAGCATGCAGACATGGTCAAGACGACCTGCTGCAGTTCAAACCGAGCATCAGATTAGGGAATAAAGGTGATTTAACTGACTTTGAATGTGGCATGGTTGTTGGTGCCAGACGGGCTGGTCTAATTCAGAAGTTTCTGATCTACTGGGATTTTCAAGCACAACACCAGAAGACCACACCGGGTGCCACTCTTGTCAGCTAAGAAAAGGTAACTTAGCCAATTCGCACAGACTCACCAAAATTGGACAATAGAAGATTAAAAAATGTTGCCTGGTCTGATGAGTCTGGATTTCTGCTGCAATGTTTGAATGGTCGGGTCAGAATTTGGCATCAACAACATGAAAGCATGGATCCATCCTTCCTTGTATCAACAGTTCAGGCTGCTGGTGGTGTTGTGAGGGTGTGGGAGATATTTTCTTGGCACACTTTGAGCCCATTAGTACCAATTGAGCATCCTGTCAACACCACAGCCTACCTGAGTATTGTTGCTGACTATGTCTATCCCTTTATGACCACAGTGTACCCATCTTGTGATGGCATCCAAGATGGATAAAGGCAGCTCTGAAGGGGTTCAACCCAGTACTAGTAAGGTGTACCTAATAAAGTGGCTGATGAGTGCATATAGGAATTATCTAATAAACGTAAGTTAAACATATTACAATTTTAGGATTTGAGCCTGATTTGAGGGTTTGTTGAGGTCATAAACATAACATACACAAATACAAAAAAAATAAGTAAATGTATTGATAACAACTGATATAATTTATGAAAGTGTTAATAAATGATGAGCAGTAAATTAACACAATATATTCATGTTCATATTTTTATACAAATAATCCATTTCCTATAGACATCATTCACAGTATGTTTATGGATAAAACTGAATATTATAGTTTAAGTAAATTATGACAATTATGTAGATGAAATGTCAATTTAAATAATCCCATCTACTTGAACTTCTTTGTTTTATGATTTATTTATTTATTTATTTATTTTTTGCTGCTGTCGGATAAACAGAGAGTGAGGATGAGGAAGGTAAGAATGTACTAGATTTAACAGTACATCTAAACAGCTTTTTGTCATCTTTCACATCAACGTCTTCTGCATTTGTTTTTTATTTATTTTTTATTTTTTTTATTTCTCAACAAGATAAACTACATTTAATCTTTGACTTTAGTAAAGTTCCCAATTCAGGTTTAGATCTAGTGTCTCTATAAAAAAATTTACACAAATAATAAAGGTTAACGACCCTTTACTCTCCCTTAAGTGGTTATAAAGCTTTATGAGTTTATTTATTTTGTTAAAAACAAAAGAAGATATTTTAAAGTATGTTGAAAACCTGGGCAGAACGGTGGCACAATGGGTTGCACGATTGCCTCACAGCAAGAAGGTCACTGGTTCAAGCCCTGGCTGGGCTCAGTTGACATTTTTATGTGGAGTTTGCATGTTCTCCCCATGTTTACATAGTCCAAAAAAAAAAAAAAACGTGGTACAGTTTAATTAAGCTAAATTGTCCGTAGTGTATGTGTGTGAATGAGTGTGTATGGATGGATGTTTCCCAGTGGTGGGTTGCAGCTGGAAGGGCATCCGCTGTGTAAAACATATGCTGGATAAATTGGTGGTTCCCAGATTAATAAAGGGACTAAGCCAAAAAGAAAATGGATAAATGAATGTTGAAAACCTGTGACTTTCATAGTAGAAAAAACAAATACTAAAGATCTAATACTAAAGTCAATGGTTACAGGATTTCTTTGAAATATCTTCTTTTGTTTAACAGAAGAAAGAAACCCATAAAGGTTTGAAACAGGTGAGTACATAATGATAGATTTTTCATTATGTGAAATTTCTGGTGAAAGGTTAATGTGACTATTTTAAATTTAAATCATAGGTGAACTATCCGTTAAAATGTACAGTATGTGCGTGTAAAGGAGTGTTTCCTCTCGGTCCAGTTTCCTTGTGTTTACACCCTCAAAAATCAATATAGAGTATCATAACCTGCTCATTTTCATCAGTTTCCATTTCAAGCACTATAAATCATCAGGGCATGTTTTACATGTGCTCATTAATTTGTTTGACTCTGCTAAACTCTTGTGCTCACAGCTATTTTTCTTTTTTTTCTTCTTTTTTCTTTTTCTTCTCCAGAGCCTCGTAGTTATGTGGAGTCTGTGGCGAAGGCAGCAGCAGTACCTGCATCTCCAACATATGACAGCGACAGCTTAGCTCGTCCTGCCGGACCGTCCCATGCTTACAATGCTCCACTTTCCTCCAGCAGCCCCATTCAGAACCCAGATCCAGTGTAAGTGTCACTCTCGTGGGTTTTGTTCCCCTGTAACTATTTCTGAACTGCCCCTAATCATACCTGTCAACTCTGGTATGTGGAAATAAGGGATATGCCCCCTACAAAAACCTCAAATTACTAAATCTGTTAATCTGGAGCTGTTTCATTGTAAATAAACAGTTAAACTGTTACTAATATGTTTTATTATTATTAGTTACAAAAGAGAAAAAAATTATATTAGCATCAAATACATTAAAAAAAAAGGTCAGCTTATTAAAATAAATAGCTATTATAAAGAAATAGAACCAAGTTATCAAATCTCATTAATCTTTTTATTCACTGTATTACTTACACATTCTTATTAAAGAGCAACAAATGAATCTCTCATTTATATGGATTTTTTGTTTGATTACATTAAATAACAGAGGTTATTTATTTTAGAAAATGCACACATCTAACGTTCAAATTAAAACATTCGATTGCTCTCCGAACTTTTTCTGCTCATTTAGGACAAAATTAGTTACCCCACCAAGATCAACATCTTTAGATGGTATTATTAATAATTATGTGTATATGACTGTTCAAACACGCACCCAAAACCCAGACTTTCACTCTGATTCAAATTGCGTTTACAGAATCCGTTTGGGAAACAGAGTCTGTTTATCATTGTGGAGTGGGTCAGCTGACTGTCACGCACCGCTATATGACTTGAGGATGTTTTGAGGATTGCATAGGAGGGGTGACGGCACCAAGAAAAGAGATCATATCTCCCCTGTCTCGCCTCATTGCATTGGCTACCTATAAAATACAGAGTTGATTTTAAAATTCTTCTTTTCACTTATAAAGCTTTGCACAATTCTGCCCCGGCCTATGTCAGTGAGCTTATTAGGCCATATGCAGCTTGTAGACCGTTCAGATCCTGTGACCAGTTTCTTTTGTCTGTCCCACGGTCTCGCTGCAAGTCAAAAGGTGATCAAGCTTTCAGTGTTGCGGCCCCAAGGCTCTGGAACAGTCTCCCTCCAAACATCAGAATCTCTCCTTCTTTGGATGCTTTTAAATCTAACTTAAAGACTTATTTTTACTCTCTTGCCATTGAGTGATGCATGCATGTTATTTTTTATTATTTGTATTTTAGTATTACTTTTAAATATATTTCTATTTATTTTTAATACCATTTTTTTGTTTTGTTTTATTGTCTAGTTTATTTTATTGTAAAGCACTTTGGATCAACCACGGTTGTGTAAAATTGTGCTCTATAAATAAAGTTTACCTTACCTTGCCTTGCCTTGCCTGTAATGAAAAGGAGGGGAATCCCACCGTTTTTATATTTATTTCAAAGTGTTTTCATGCCTAAATAAAACAAAAGCACAGAACAGACTCATTTAAGAGCAAGGGGCAGTATGGGTTGCGTATAGGGAGAATCGGCTCTTTAAAGTTTATTGCCACCCTTCATAGACAGATTGGAAATAAGGGAGAAATACGGGAAAAAAACTTTATGGCATGAAAGCGGAATAGAACTGTAAAATATGGGAGAATCCCGGGAAAAACAGGAGGGTTGAGAGGTATGCCCTAAATGCCTTTATTAAAATAATTCTGACTTCAACTGTATATATATATTTTCATAAACATTTTATTTGTTTGTTTCTGTGTTCTTTTAGTGAAAGCACATTGGCTGACAGCGGGGTCGGGATGAATTCTTTATCCCAGGCTGCTGTCGACATTTTCCATTTCCAGCCCTCCGAAATCCCATACCAACCACCACCACCCCCCTACCCAACCTCCATGTTGGGTAGCTACATCAGCCCTTCTCCAGCAGAGGCCATGCAAAATAATACCACCACCATCCAGCCACTTTCTGGAAGTCCTGGGACAAGACACCACACCATCCTTTCTGACATGGCGTCCGTTCCCAACTTTCAACACAGATTAGCAAATCAGGATGGTCCCATACTTGGGCGACAGCAGGCTCCAGCTAATGGTCATGTGCCTGGAATTGCTGGTAGTCCAGTGCAAGGAAGACACACTATGGTGTCCCAGGGTACACAAAGCAGTCCCATACTGAGCAGACAGTATCCTGTCACCCAGGGGATTCAGAGTAGTCCAATTCTCAGCAGGCAGCCAATGGGACAAGCTGTCCAGAGCAGTCCAGTCCTCAACCGACAGGCATCCCTGAATCAAGCAAACCAAAGCAGTCCAGTGTTGAGTAGACAGCAGTCCATTACCCTACCCAACCAAGGCAGCCCGGTCCTAAGCAGACAGTCCTCGCTTAGTCATCCCAGTCAGGGTAGTCCTGTACTAGGACGCCACCCTTCCCTAACACAGGGTAGCCCCAGCCTGGATAGGCATCCGATGTACAGCGGTTACACCACTCCAGAAGAGCGACACGGAGCTCTGTCACGCCAAAGCAGCTCTTCAGGATACCAGCCGCCATCTACACCGTCTTTCCCAGTTTCTCCAGCAGGATACATCGAGGGAGCGGGATTCAGACAGGGGAGTCCTGCTTTCCAACCTCAGTTGCCCGAAAAGAGACGCATGTCCAGCAGTGACCGCACCAATGGTGGCCTGTCCTATGGGACGCTCAATGGGAAGATGTCCTCACCGGTGTCCAGTGGCGGCAGCACTCCGAGTGTTCATTTCTTCCACACACTCCCCGATTTCTCCAAACTCAACATGTGTGGTAAGTCTAATGTCTGGTTCACACCAAAAGTGAAAGTAAGAATTTACGAGCATAGATTACAGACAAATGCGCAAACAAGTTTCTGCTGAGCGGCATACATGATTTGGGATGCATGGCACGTTTTCTGCGATAAAGCAGAACTCGACTCAGTTGCGTCTATTACTCAAGGTCAAATATTTCAACTAAGTGGAAAATTCAAGCGAGACATGGTGCTCTGCGTTTGGTGTGGACCCACCATAAGAAAAAGCAGAATCAAAATGAGTTTGAAATTAACCTTTTAACTGTCTTCCCCACTCTTTGAACATTGATATGAAAATGACTTCATGTTAAATGATTGCCAAACTTTCAATCAAATGCTTTGGTGCATACATTTTAGCTGGGTCTCATTTTAAAGAAGTCACTTATCAAATTACAGCTGAGGTGAACAGTTCAAAAAATTACACAAAGCAAAAATTATGAGCCGTTTTTGATTAATTCCGAGCACGTGGCGCGACATTTTGCTGTGGAAACTGGTCATACGACATCAATTTTCTGCACTCCCAAATGTATTGCATAAAATATATTGCATAAAATATTGCACTTATTCTTTTTGATCTTTTTAGATATTAGTCTGAATCGTTCGGTTTGTAATACCTACTGAACCGAAAGTCTCATTCCGAACGGTTCAATATGAATACACGTATCATTACACCCTTAATAATAATAATAAATGATTGCATAAAATCTTAATATTATTGGTTTAACTTTATCATTTTTTTATGATTTAGTCTTATATAGTAGTAATAGTAATAATAATAATAATAATAATTATAATCATAATAATAATCATAATAATAATAATAAATGATTGCGCAAAAAAATCTAAATATTACTGGTTTAACTGTATCGAAAATGCAGCCTTGGTGAGCATAAAAGAAAATAAAAAGAAACCCCTTGCTAATAAATAAATAAATAAATAAATAAATAAATAAATACATAATGAAATGTAAATAATTTACTTGTTATAAATGACATAAATATTGTATTTGCATTATGTACATTATTATTATTGTTGTTGTTAATGTTATTATCATTTAATAGATTGGGTTTTTCAATTATATTATTAAAATATAGCCTTTTTAAGCAGTTATTACAAAACTGTTTGACAATACTTATAGTCTCTGGTTAATCTCCAGAAGCCTTGTGCTTATTGTCGGAGTTACTGACTGTAATTTATTAAGAATGATGGTAGCCCTAATACAGATGAACCTGAACAGTTGTGTGCACGTCAATTTAGTTTTAAAAAGACATGCATTAGGTAGCATATACATCCTGAACTAATCCTACATTACAGCTGATGGACTGCTAAATAAAACGTATTTTTCATTTCCCAGATGGAAGTCCAGAAACCAGAATGAACGTGAAGTTTGTCCAGGACACGTCCAAATTCTGGTATAAACCAGATATCTCGAGAGACCAAGGTAAGGGCGCTGTCCAATATATATGTTGCAGGGTTAATTTACCTATATTTAGACCCCCAAATGGAGGCTCATAACTCCCATAAAGAGTCAAATATGTCTCCTGCCACCATATATGAGGTCAATCGCTGCTGGTCTGCACATCTGGTTCTCCTTCGTGCTCTTATTGGATTAGATCATCTGCGTTGGAGACCTCTTTTTAAACGCAAACACATGCAGTGACATCACGCTGCACTCGACACATGTGCTTAGTTAAACACAGCAAACATCGTTGTTTCATTAGCTTGTCTTAACGATAAAAATAAACCTCTTTTTTTCTTTGCTCACTTCTTATCTCTGTGTGTAAAACTGCAGGGTAATTTGCAGCAATTTGTTTGCAGTTTACTGTCACATCTTCATGTTGTAAATGATAAATATATACAAACACAGGTTATCATCTTAGAAATTAATTGATGTTGCAGGCCTGTAGTCAGCCTATTAAAAGTGGTGGTTCTTTTTTTTCTCGAAAAGTGGACCAATGTGCAGTTGTACGAGAATCAACTGACATTTTAAGCACTACTGGTTATCATTACCACACTTTTTGATGCAACGAAAATACTTCTTATATTTTTTGTCAGAATGCTTACTAGGGTTGGGTATCGTTTGGGTTTATTTCGATACCGGTGCTAAATCGATACTTTTAAAACGGTACCGGTGCCAAAAAGGTGCCTGAACAGATACTTTTAAGCCACAAAATTATGACTCTAGAAAAATATTTTATTTGACAATCTTTTAAAAAATAATTTTAATAGAACAATATAATAAAGTTTAAACTAAACATCAATTCATATTTTATGTATCTGAATTGCATTAATACATTACTTTTGGTCATTTGCGGGCATGGGCCACTTATATTTTTGGTTGGCACATTTTAACATATATCACAAAATACTTAAAATAAAGTACTGGAAGTAACCTATATTTAAAATATACTAAAAATTTTAAATATATTTAAAATTACTGGTAGTAATTTTTTTCATGCATCACTCTGCAGTCTTCATAAACAAGATAATTAAATAACTTAAACTCAAAATAATCTTCCTTGTTAATTTATTTGTCAAGTAACTTTGTACTGGTGTAGGATAAGACATTTCTAACATTCAAGTACATAAAGACACATTTATGCACCTTTAAACTTAAACAGATAGGCCTACAGTTGAAGTCAATTTATTTTGCCCTCCTATTCATTTAAAATAATGTTTCTGAAAATTTTCAGTGTTTCCTAAAAAAACTAATAATTCGTTAAGTCATAATAAGTCCTATTTCTTATTGTTTATTACTTGAATAAAAGCAGTTTTTAATAAAAAAATAATTAAGGTCAGTATTATTAGCCTCAAGAAATATTTACTGTATATTTTTTGATATACAAAACAAATCAGTTACAAAATACTTTGACTTATTATTTCAACTTTAAGTCTTTAAATTACACTTTAATCTTAATAAAAGACTATAAAATACTTAAAGGCACTGTGTCTGAATACAATTGTCTTGCAAAATAACTAGTAAAATGTTATGCACTGACTGGGTAAAATAAAGTAGATATTTGAAATGAGTTAGTTTAACTATTATGTTTAAAAATGTGTTGTAAATAAATCATGTGTTGAGGCGGCAATCAAAAATGAATTAAGGCAAAACTAAACAAGTTGAATATGACTTGAATTTGATCAATGTTACATCTGTTCTTTGGTACTTGCAGAATGTTTGTAAATTCAATACTGCGTTTCCTAATGTAAAACTATGTACTCTAGATTTCTGATTAATAATGGTCTGTGCATAGTTGAGCACTTCCTATAGTAAAAGTGTTAAAATCGCTAATACCCCTGTCAGTTTGGGTGCCAACCTCTGACGAATGCGGGGAACTTAGTTAATGCGAGCAGCATCGTCACTGGCAGGGAGAGCAAGTGCACAAGTTGCTGTGTCAGAATCCTTGCTTGTAAAATACGATTTAGAATGCTTAGTTTAAGCAAATTTGATGAATGCAATCATGCGTATTGATCTGAAGAGAGTCGCTCTCGCCCACCGAATGCTCTGTACTGCGTGCGTTGCATGCGTCCGTTCCCTAAGCAACAAGAAAAAACGCCTGACGTCGCTGACACTGTCCATATCCCTCAAAGTAGTTTAGAATTAAATGTTTAGAGATGATGACAACTTGTACCTAAGTGTGCCTTTGCACCTTTGATGCTTCTTACGTCCTTGTCGCAGCACCAGTGGCACCGAAATCAATATGCTGATTTCATCCGGTACATACCGGTTACAAAGCTGTCGGTGCAATAATGGCACCGGGTTTCGGTACCCAACCCTAGTGCTTACTATACTAGCATTGGGCAATGTCAACCAATTTGGCATTGTACAATTATTAGCCTAAGTATAAAGTATCAGCCTATACATAATTAATTTAATTTAAGCACAGATTTGTTTCAAAACTATTTCTAAATTCAGTTCTAATTTCCAGCAAACGAATAAATGAACAATGATAACGAAGTTATATCCTAATACACATTCTTTGCCCCATATGGTCTAAAACCTGACAGGTGGACAAATCTAAGCTTGTTTTTAATAAAAATATAAATATTGATATAATAAATAATACTGCTAATAATAATAACTTTATACACTTTATTATGAATAAACCGAAAAAGCCTCCCTTAGATGAAGAAGGCATGAAAGTATATGGTTTTTATATTTATGTAGGCTAGAAAATAATGTTTTGTAATATTTTAACCCTTTATATTTATATCCTATATATGTTCTTATTATATCCTATATGTATCCTTAGCATTTAATTCTTTTTTATATGTAAAGATATTTGCGTATTGCTGTACACCCTACAAAGTGAGGCACACAACAAACGCGCTCTGCACTTAATAATAGACTGGCTTTGTTCTGGTCTGTTTAACAGTCTATTATAGTTTCTCAAAATAGCAACGCGCCAGCAATACACCTCAACACGCCTCCTTTTCTAGACCAGAATGCCTATTAAAATAGGCAAATGCATTTGCTATTTAAACATCGTGGCGCAAAACGTCAAAACGACTCTTGAGCCAAGCTGAAACTAGCAAACAACAATTGCGTTGCACCTTGCGCTGCATTGCGCCATGAGTATGATAGGGCCCATAATCTTTAAAATTATGACATATTAAAAAAAAAATCGCAAATATAACTGAGGTTTGTGATAAAATAAGTGATTAAATCCTTATTTTCCTCAAACTGAAACAAATCATCCACCCATATAGTTGAGTACTGAAGGGGCACAAACAAAAATTAGAATTTGGATATTTTTCTTGAAAAAAAAGTTTTAAATTTTAAACTTATTTATTTATTTATTTATTTATTTATTTAAATTTTTTCATTTTTTGCTTTTCTTGATTTTTCCCTCTTTTTAAAATTTTATGTTTAATATTTCTCCCTAACATAATTTGGGTGTACTCATTTTAGGATCGTTATTGTACTTTATTTTGTTAGATTAGCTCCAAATCTGGCTTAAGTACTGACTAAACTAATGTATATGCACAATATAATTTTGTGTAGCATCCAGTATTAAATATATATATATATATATATATATATATATATATATATATATATATATATATATATATATGACAGGAATATATAAATATTCCTGTTTTCTAAGTTTGAAATATTTACTAGTATCAAAAACAAACAAACAAACAAACAAAAAAAACAAAAACAAAGCAGCTTATTTTCTGGTACAAACATTGTCTGTGTTTTTTTTCCTACTCTGGACTTCAGCGATTAACATGCTGAAGGATCAAGATCCTGGGGCCTTTGTGATTCGGGACAGTCATTCATTCAGAGGAGCCTACGGCTTGGCTATGAAAGTGGCTTCACCACCTCCAACCACTCAACCTACAAAGAAAGGTATGTCATGTGCTTCCTCTCAGTATGCTGCTAATGCAGAAAAGCATTCCCCAAATCTCTTTCAGTTAGGAGATCTGATCATAAGCCTTGCATACAAAACCAACAACACACACTTAAAGGCTTACAGTGTTTCATTACAAAACAAAGGACAGTGGAAAGCCTCCGCTTCCAGCCAGAGGTTTTAAAACACCTACTCATATCATTTGCTAAATATTATTGCAGCATTTCTGAATTATTGATTCTGATTAGTCATTTATGGCATTTTGTGGCCAGATATTATGAAAAAAGGACACTAGATAGAATTGTTTACTCATTTAGAGATTTGTTTTAGGGTCTTTTCACAGTTGGCAGATTAAGTTTGATCAAAATGAACTCTGTGCTGTTATTGCAGTTCATTTAAAAAGATGTCTCTTACGTTCACTTCCAAATAATTTTTCTTGTCAATATAACACAATGAAAATTAAAGGTCACATTTTATTTTGATGAGCTGTTTGTGGAATATAAGTTACATTGCATCTACATGCCAACTAATTCTCATTAGAATATAAGTAGACTGTTAGGTTGGGGTTAGTGTTTCTTATAGTCAGTTAAATGTCTGTTGAAGGTGCAGTATGAACGGATATTAGGCAGACAGTCTACTAATACTCAAATGGATCATCAAAATAAAGTGTTACCAAAATAAACATTAGAGAAACGCATGAAATATTGCTTTGATTCAAATATATATTGTGCAATTTTGAGACAAACCACCTGTCAGAGACACGCTCTTTTTCCATTCTTATAAACACATCATCTTGCTGGGAAAACATTATGCAGTGCGCTTGACAAACCACCTGTAGGATACACACTCTTTCCTATGTCCTCTCTGTATGCACCAGACGCTTTCCTACAAACATTTAATTTCAAGGACTCAAAACTATTTAATAAAATAAAATAAATAATAATAAATGACGAAACTTAGACTTGTCATAGTATCTTCACTCACTGGCCACTTTATTAGGTACACCTGTCCAACTGACAGATCAGAGGTATGCAGAAGAGCATCTCTGAATGCACAACATGTCGAACCTTGAGGCAGATGGGCTACAGCAACAGATCAGGAAACTGAGGCTACAACTGGTACAGGCTCAGCAAAATTGGACAACAGAATACAGGAAAAATTTTGCCTGATCTGATGAGTCTTGATTTCTGCTGCAACATTCGGATGGTAGGGTCAGAATTTGGCATCGACAACATGAAAGCATGGATCCATCCTGCCTTGTATCAACGATTCAAGCTGGTGGAGATGGTGTAAGGGTGTGGGGGATATTTCCTTGGCACACTTTGGGCAGATTAGTTTCAATTGAGCGTTGTGTCAACACCACAGCCTACCTGACTATTATTGCTAACCATGTCTATCCCTTTATGACAGTGGTCTCAAACTCAATTCCTAGAGGGCCACAGCTCTGCAGATGTTAGCTCCAACCACCTCAAAGTCACACCTGCTTAATAGTCTCTATTAAGCTGCGGTCACACTGGGCTTTCCCTCCCGTAGACTTCCATTCATACGCACGTGAATGCATCAGACCAGAAACGCAGGGTCATGCGTTAAGTTTCGCAGGTTGCTGCGGTGCAAAGTTCAAGCTTGGTGAACTCTGACCTGCAATATCGCATCACTTGACTTTGTGAGACCAACCGAGGATCAAAACATGACCTCTCTGGACAGAAATTTAAAACATGTAGCAATTGCTCGCTTTTTTAATGCCTAATAATCTTGTCTATTGCCGCCCCTTTTTGCAGTGCTGCACAACAGAATTTCACATTATCAAACTCTAGTGTGACCACAGCTTAAGTCTTGTGCACTTTGATTGCAAAACGTTGAAGAGCTGCGGCTCTCCAGGAATTGAGTTTGAGACCCATGCTTTATGACCACAGCGTACCCATCTTCTGATGGCTACTTCCAGCAGGATAACGCACCATGTCATAAAGCACTAATCATCTCAGACTGGACAATGACAATGAGTTCACTCACAGTTCTGAGGAATATTTCCAGTACCTTGTTGAATCATAAGGGATTAAGGCAGTTCTGAAGGCAAAAGAGGGTCCAGCCCGGTTTTAATAAGGTGTACCTAATAAAGTGGCCAGTGAGTGTATATATTTCTGCTCTTAAGGATTTAAAGTGCTTATTTTATCTTAATTTATAAGTCACTTAATTAAGATAATGTGAATATTGAGCAAATTGGGTCATTATAAGTTAGACTACAAGTTGGGTCACTTCATCAAATGATGTTTTTATTTATTTTTTTGGCCAAAGTCTTTAGATTTTGACTTCATATTCTTTATCATTACAGCTGGAGATGTCACTAATGAGTTGGTGAGGCATTTTCTAATTGAGACGAGTCCGAAGGGTGTGAGACTGAAGGGCTGCCCCAACGAGCCGTACTTTGGTAAATCAGACATTTTCAATTTTTGCATTTTCTACCTTTTCTAAAGCCCACTTAGCAGTGTTTGTCCGAGATGGTCTGATTGTTGCCGCCAGAGAAATCAAATGCTTCTCTGAAAAGTGGGTGGGAAGCAGAAGCTTATTAGCATGTAAAAAGACACGCACAAAAACAACATTATCTGGGTTTTCATTCCCCTTTGTTAATGTGCATTTTAAAGTATAATATGAGAAACAATTGACAGAAATTACAAAAAAAAAAAAAGGTTTTACATGTATTTAGACTTTACAAATAGATTTAATCACTTTAAAAGGATCATTATAAAGCTTTCGGACACAACCTGTTTCTTACATCTGAGCTAGTGTTTGAATGATTCTCTAGTATAATGTCTAAAGTGCTGATAAAATGTGATTTTGCTGACATTTTAAAATTATAAGACTGAAACGGCAGGAAATGCCATCAGTCTAAAAAGATTTTCAAGTATTTCAGTATTGCAATTGGGATATTACAATAATTAACCACAAAAAAGCCAAAGCAAAGCAAACACTATCAGATTACTATGGTATACATACAGCACTATAACATACAAAAGAGAGATCGACTTAGAATATCACTTACCTGTTTTATGATTTGTTCAGCTGTTTTTCTCCCCTAAGGACTTAATTTGCAGTATCTGTCGCCATCATGTGGCAGAACATCAAACAGTTTTTTTCTCTGCTCAATATCGATTCTGTATCAGAAGTCGAGTTAACTAAAAAGTTAATAATATTATTATTTTTTAATAGTTCGGCTTTTTTTTTTTTTTAATAATAAAAGCAGTGGGTGTCTTAAAGGGATAGTTCACTCAAAAATAAAAATTCACTCGCCCTTCACTTATTAAAAACCTTTATGACCTTTCTTTCTTCTGTTGAACACAAAAAAATATATTCTGAAGAATGATAGTTGCTTGTACCCATTGACTTACATAGTAAAGAAAAACAATTCTATGCAATTCTAAGTTAATGGGTGCCAGCATTCTTCAAAATATCTTCTTTTGTGTTCAACAGAAGAAACTCACATATGTTTTGAAAAAGTGAAAGACGAGTGAATGCTAACAATATTTTTCTTTGAGTTAACTTCGCCTTTAACACACACCATATTACATTTTTTAAGAAACTAAAACAGGACAACTTTTGATGAGTTTTCCCTTTCGTTCACACAATATTGCCTACGAAGCCTCAAAGTTTCTCATGACTTGTTATAAGAATGATTTGTTGAATGTTCACTAATGTGAAAGACCAATCTGTCAAGCATGTAGAACAAATGCTTGTGTGGTTAACATGTGAATCCTTTAAATCAAGCTGTCCGTGTTGCTCCCAGAAAGCTGCAGAACATCTGCGAGTCCAAAACGCCAGCATGGAAGCAGCTGAGATTATTAAGTACAGCTCAAAGATGGCCTCTCTGTAATTTACTGTCTGCGGACCACATTACACGGAGGCCCAGTCTGTTTAATGGACAGTTCTGTCTTCTTCAATATGGCCCGTTCCACATCAAATAAGGAGACATGACAATTCAGGGGCTGGGCAGGCTTGCGTAAGAGCTCTAACATTCTGTTATGGTAACCATTTCATGAGGGTGTGTTTATTATGAAATGCAGAAAAGACAAAGAAAAATGTGATGAGTGGGAGTGAAAACAGGTGTGGGGGGAAATTGGCAAGGATTTGTGTGTTGTCAGGAGTTGCAGTTTTGTTACTGAACGGGATCTCACACAAACATTTCACCCAAAAATTCATCACCAATTGTTTGTCCTTTTGTCCTTCCAAACTTTGTTGTTTATTATTTATTTTTGTTTTTGTATGGAAACAAGAGGAAATTCTGTATAATCCCTGTAGGGCTACTTTTAATTTATCTGATGTGTAGCTACAACGCTTTTTACTACAGTTTTAACAATTCTTTTAAAAAACATATGGGATCTTTAAAAAAAGATCCCATGGATGTTATAGAGGCTTGTCATGCCAAGAAACACAGTTTATTTTTAAAGGCATAGTCCAAGCAAGATCACAAATTCACACTGGTGTTGTTTTGGAGTGATTTTATACCTATAGATCGGTTGTTTTGTTCCAAATAGTTAATAGTAAGCTGACTAAAATAGTAAAACAACTCACATGTGAGTAAACTCCCTTCACACTGGTAAAATCTTATATTGATTATATACACACACACATATACAGGGCTTTACATTACCACCCGCTTAATTACATTCAGGGCTTTACATTAACACCCGCACAGATTTCAGCTCTGGTGGGTAAGACAGCTGCTTCCACTAGCCACTTTGGCTGGTTGGAAAACATTTTTTACAATGTAGTTTTCTTAAAGCAGGGTTCGACAATAAGGGTGGTCCAAAATGTGATCTTAGAATCGAGAAGCAGCACGACTGACAAAAATAACTGTGTTCGCGAGAGCAAAAGCAGGTGATTACCTTATGAGAGTATGATCACTCGCGCGCACTGGTGATGTGATGTGCGCGACTGTTAAAAAGCGTGCGCGCTCCCGTTAACTTACGTGAAACAACCGTGGGTAGGGGAAGTGCAACTGGTGCGATCAGTTCTCTTTGAAATAGAATAGACAAAAATGCTTGTGCACCCAGAGTCCTGCTGCTTTCCAGAGCTCAAGATTTAAAAAAAAATTATATAAATACATCATTATTGCTTGTTTGAAACCATTTAAAATTTGTGGCAAATAAATGATTATTTCTTTTTGGTGTGATCAGAGATAAATTTGGTAAACTCTTAATTTTTAAGCCCTAAAAAAGTCATGTGTAATAAAAACTAATTGCAATGCGACACAACCCATTTGCTCATGCACACTGAGCAAGCTCATACACAACCCCACACACACAAAGTGAAATGAATGAGAAGGCATGTGGACAACACAACATCTAAATTAAGTAATTTTAGCATGTCAAAGTCAAATTTATGCATATAAAATATATTTTCCAAACAACAAATGTGTGGCTAGTGAAAATAGTGAATGGCTAGTAATGTTGGAAATTACATTCATAAACTGTGTGTGAGGGGACTACAAATTGCCGGACTCTAAACAAATTGCAAAGTATTGTTCTGTATCTGCAATAATAGGCAGTCTTCATGTGTGGAGAAGACGATGCCATCTCTATCCTTAATCCATTTACTTAATACTGCACGCAGAATGGATTGAGTGTCTAATAGTGCCACGCAAAAGATCATCAATGGTTGCATGCTGCTTGTACTGTGAAACATTATGGGCTCCTAACGATTATTTGGATGCTGTGTTGTTCTAATAGTATTAGTCATTCCAAATAAAATGAATCAAATGTGTGTGTGTGTGTGCGTGTATGTATATATATATATATATATATATATATATATATATATATATATATATATATATATATATATATATATATATATATATATATATACATATATATTAGGGGTGTCACGATTTCGATTTTTAATTGAAATCTATCAAAATTTATGCTCAATTTCGATTATCGAATCAAAATATAGAATCGTCGATGCTGCCACGCCCCCATGTCATGTCAGTTTGGCTTGCCAAGCGGGAAAAAAACAGGCTTGTTGAAGTGCTTGTTAAACTGTGCAGACGCAGGAGACCCGTCGACAGAACTTAAACCCTCTCCTCTTTCAATGAAGTCGCCGGTGTGTAAGCATTATGGATTTCCAGTTAGTTATGTTGACAACGTTTGTGTTGTCGACAAAAAAAAAAACACAGTTTTGCAAGCTCCGCTATGTACGTATTACGTACGGTTCGTCTGATAGACAACACCGGCATCGCGATCCTCCGGCCGCCCCCGTTGCAAATCCGCTCGCAAAAAGTACACACTCAGGCCCTGTTTACACTGTCTTTGTTTTTAAATGGCATTTTAGAACGACAACGATTTGACATCCACAGTGGCGTGTAGCATTTCTGAGCAGCCCTCCTTCCTCTCTACCTCTGAAAACGCACATCACGTGACCACACAGACACACATACAGCCTTGCGCTCGAGACAGCAAGTCCAGGCAGTCAGAGGACTGCTTCAATCTTTCACTCACTTGTACTTAGTCATTTTAGCGAACACCTCAGATACTGTTGGCTGGTTCCTGTTGGTTGTGCGTCTTTTTTTACCGACGCCATTATAACGACACAGATCACTGCCTATTCACGAGTCCCGCAGAAAAAATGATTGACAGGTGGTAATTATGTGTGTAACTTGCCTTTATTCATTTACTGTATGATTTGTTTATGGGTAAAACAAAGACCATGCAGGTCTGGTAGTTTAAACAGTAGGCTACAAATAATGAATTTGGTCATTAATTAATTAATTATTCATAATCGAATCGAATCGTGCCTTTAGAATCAAAAATGTAATCGAATCGAGGATTTGGAGGATCGTGACACCCTTAATATATATATATATATATATATATATATATATATATATATATATATATGTGTGTGTGTGTATATATGTATATATTTATATATATATATGTGTGTGTGTGTGTGTGTATATATGTATATATATATATATATATATATATATATATATATATATATATATGTGTGTGTGTGTGTGTGTGTGTGTGTGTGTGTGTGTGTGTGTGTGTGTGTGTATATGTATGTTCATAAAAGTTTTCTTTGGAAATTCGAAATAGGGAAATCATATAAAAAGCCAGTGACTATCAAAATACAACATTGTGCACAGTCAATTAAATAATGCTAAGGATGTTTTACTTGCATACTTTCAAACCAAAACTTTCAATAATGCACGTCACAAATTCTTACTGTTCCAATATTCACAAATTTTTGAATATAAAACCAACTTTACCTCAATCTGTTTTTGCTAAAAAGTGGTATGGTCCGGTTCGCTTTTTGGGACATTTTGACAGTGGAAACAGGCATAAACAGTTGTGCTTTTATAGCTGATCAACGTTTACCTTTCATTCACTTTCAAATGTCGACATTAATGGCGTTTTTGGAACAACATGAAAGCAAGTAGCTATCCAGAAGTGAGTTTTTGCTTTAAAATAGCCCTAATATGAAATAACAAACCGTCCTCATTTCCTGTTAGTGTTGATAAAATCTGATTGCTGAAGGAGGAACATTTTAGAAGCTGATTATAGCAGGTTTCCTTTCCGCCATCAACCTGGTGCAAGTAGTTTATTCTCATGCCCAAACAAAGTCCCGCCAGAGCTCGTTTTCCCTAATATAGTCAAATATTTCCAGCAAAGGTTTAATAAAGAAACACAGCTCGTGTATTGCATGTCTTCCAACTTTCAACTGGACAGCAACATGGATTTATGGTTTGTCATATCAGGCGTCAAAGATTGACCACTTCAGTAGGGCTGTAATGTGAAGTATGCCCTCCTCTGATTTCTGCTCGTAAATCTGAGCCCAATTTTGTTTTGATGTTGTGTGTTCAGGCTGCCTGTCTGCGCTGGTCTACCAGCACTCCATCACTCCACTGGCACTGCCCTGCAAACTAGTCATACCAACCAGAGGTGAGACAACATACACACATAACAGGGACCGCAACGGGGATATATACACATAACACTATCACTATACACATAACAATGACCACAATAAAAACCTGTATGCTTTGTTTTACTTTAAAGGTAAACAATACAACTTAAATACCAAAAGACAATAAAATGTAGACAAATTCCACATCATAAAAGTGCTTACATTTTGTTTTATATATTTCTTTTTTTTTATTCATTTAATTTTTATTTATTTATTTATTTATTTATTTTTGCATTCATGTGTGCCAATATTGCACAATAAATTTGTCCATATTTGTTCTATCATACATTATAATTTATTTATATGATTTTTTTTTTGTTAAGAATTTTCATACATTCATTCATTCATTCATTTTCTTGCCAGCTTAGTCCCTTTATTAATCCGGGGTCGCCACAGCAGAATGAACCGCCAACTTATCCAGCAAGTTTTTTACGCAGCAGATGCCCTTCCAGCCGCAATCCATCTCTGAGAAACATCCACACACACATTCACACACACACTCATACACTACGGACAATTTAGCCTACCCAATTCACCTGTACCGCATGTCTTTGGACTGTGGGGGAAACCGGAGCACCCGGAGGAAACCCACGCGAAGGCAGGGAGAACATGCAAACTCCTCACAGAAACGCCAACTGAGCCGAGGTTCGACCCAGCGACCTTCTTGCTGTGAGGCGACAGCACTATCTACTGCGCCACTGCCTCGCCAGTTTTCATACAAGATCATAATTTTTGTGTTTTTGGTTTTGTCCTGCATTATCATACATTATAATTTTTTATATGCATATCTGTGTTTTTGTCCAGCAATTTCATACCCAATAACACTTTATTAATGTATTTCGCCCAGAATTTAATTGCAATATCCAACATTTAGCATGAAAATACAGGTTTTTTTGAACATTTGAAATATTACACAATGGATGTGTGCATACTGGTTTTCCAGTATTATTTTACATTATATTTTTTTGTATGTGCGAATTGGAATTTTTGTCAAGCATTGTCATAGAAGATCACTATTTGTGTGCATTTTTTTGTCCAGCATTATTATACATGATAATTTTTAATATGCACATCGTAGTTAGTCCAGCAATTTTATACCATATCACACTTTGTGTTTTCGTTTAATAAAATATTACACTTTTTTCACAGATAGGGTTTTTTATCCAGCAATATTTATCCCACTATATTTTTGTCAGCAAGTACATTATATTTTGCATGAAAATACATGGTTTTTGGGCACTTGAACATGCATGAGTGCTGCTCACATTTAAGCAAGATGCAATAATGTCTTAAATATATAACAATATGACTAGAAGCATGTTTTTTCTCTACTAATCTCATTCCTTTGTATGTATGCATGTGTTTTCTATACTTGGACTTTCATTATGACCTCATTTATCTGTGTCCTTGGTCATGATGATGTATGTCCTGTTTGTCTAGTGTGAATAATTGTGAACATTCATCCTCGTTTAGTCCTCTGTCCTCAGCCAACTGCTATATGCCATTCAGGTGTCAAAGGGCACAAAGCCGCAGACCTTTACGTGTGGATTTCCGCCTTTTCAAACACAGTGTGACGGCATGTTTGCCAGACGCTTTGATTACTGGCATAGTATGCATTCCTGCAGGCGAACGACAGGTTATAACACTCAGCCTGACAGGATGTGCTCAGTTTGACCTCTGACCTGCGCTCATGTTTGCAGATCCTCTGGAAGAGTCACCTGAGATCGCAACACCAACCAACCCGGCGGCAGATATGCTCAAGCAGGGCGCAGGTGAGAAAAACACATTACTGATTGTGGAAAATGAATCATTTGTGGCATTTTTTAATGATTTCTCTCTGATAGTGTGATGCTTTAGATTCTAATTAAGATCTTCTGTTGCGTTTTGAAAAATTAAAAATAAAAATATATTTGAAAATACATTTTTTATTAAGATTTTATTTATAAAAAAGCAATAATTACAGTTACAGTAAGGCTCTTCCAGAAGAGCAATTCTATTAAAATGACAATTGTGGCCAAATAAAGAGTTGCATAAAATTAAAATCTATTCAAATATGTGGTCATTTCAAAACACTTATTTAAAATAAAAATACATTTTAAATTAAGTTTTATTTAATAAAAAACAATAATTACAGTAAGGCTGTTCCAGAAGAACATTTATAATAAAATGGCATTTAAAGAGTTGCATAAATTTATTAAAATGTAGAGTCACAAAAATCGTATTGTTATTATATATTATATATTATATATGAGCAATATCACACGACTACCAGTGCGATATTGTGTGATATTGCCCTTTATACCAGGGGTTCCCAAACTTTTCAGCCTGCGACCCCCAAAATGACAATCCCAGTGACTCGCGACCCCCAATATCCTGGCTATAAATACAGAAACCTTGCATGCAATGTCACACACACACACACCAATACACCCAGGTATATTCTTCGTTTAATGTCAGTGCTGTAAATGGGCCAGAAACTTTAACCTGGTGTTATAAAATCTATCTGCTGCATCTGACGCTATTGCTGTGTCTTTAATATAATGTAATTCCCACTGGGGTCGCAATCCAATAGAACTAGTAACTATAAACTACTATAGTAACTATATAGTAATTATAAACGACTATATTTTTTCTTATCTGTAGGTTATGGATAAAATATGGTCATTCTTATATGATTTAATAATAATAAATAGATTTTTTTAAATCACCAGGCGACCCCTCTTCATTGTCCCGCGACCCCTCGAGGGGTCCCGACCCCCACTTTGAGAACCCCTGCTTTATACAACAGTTCGATGGCATAATCGTGTATATAAAAAAGAAAATCCAACACGGACAGTCTTAAACTCTTTTGCATAAGGAAATACTTTCTTCCGCCATTCATTCACATCTGCAGCTGAAGTCAGAACAGCAGAAAACGTTGCTACTTTACACACCATTTAAGAGCTAGTATTTGAATGATTCTCTAGCGTAATGTCTAAAGTGATGACGAAACGGGTGATTTTGCTCACATTTTAAGATTATAAGGCTAAACGGCATGACATGCCATCAGTCTAGAAATTTCCCAGTATTTCTCTGTTGCAATTGGGAGATCACAATAATTAACCCCGAAAAAGCCAAAGCAAAACAAACACTACCAGAATACTATGGAATAAATACAGCACTACAACATAGAGAGAGATCGACTTAGAATGTCACTTACCTGATTTATAAAGATTTGTTCAGCTGTAGTTTGTAATGTATGCTGCATTTTCTCCCTAAGGACTTATTATGCAGTCTCTGTCGCCATTTTGTGAAGAAAACGTCAACCATCACTTTCTTTGGTCTACTCAGACAGACTGAAGGCCGATGCACTGAATCTCAGAAATTATATATATTTAAAATAGGCACTATCCTTATAAATAAACTACATAGTTGTAATCTAAACAGCTACATTCTTGACTAAAAAAAGCCTCAAAAGTACATTATGTTGTCCAACAGCAGTAATATTGTCAAACTGTAGAGTGTTCTCTGCTTGTTGCTGTATGGAGTAATACACAAGGGTGAAGAGGCTGTAAGAGTGCTGTAATTCGCTGATCAGCCAATCAAGATTCAAGAACCAGACAGAACTGTTGTATAAAAAACTATATATATAATTTTGGACTAAAATATGCTATAATAAATAATACTTACATACTTTAAACTGGACATTCTTTATAATTTATTTAATATACAGCTAGAGTAAAAATTTTCTTTCACTTTTGTAACATTTTGATATTTCCAAAGTGCTTTTTTATTGATGGAGATTTTGTTGTAACAATTTTTTTCAACAATACATTGAACTAATGTCTTTTGTTTGTGCATTGATATATAATATGTTTCTAACTTCTTTGCAAAAGATCAACTAGGTTAAATAGGTAAATAAAAATAAGTAAGAATCTCTCTCTCTCCAGAATAATTATAGTACATACAATGAACATTTCCTTTATGTAACTTGGGAAAAGTAAAGGAAAAGAGGGCTATAACATTTGCCTTTAATTGCATATATAAATGTAATAAACCGAATCTGGAACATGTATTTAAAAGCTCTATTTTTTAAAATAAAAATTCCCCTTAAAAAAAGGAACATTTTGTTTACGTTTTTAACTAATTTAATGTTTAGCTTTTAGAAATGGTCATTTTAAACAATCAGTATATCCATGTGCTGACTAGATGCATTAAAGGGATAATTAAAATGTTTCTAATACCACCAAGCAATTTTAGATAGTTTGATCTGGTGCAGATTCAAGCCTGATTTCATAACTAACTAAAGAAAAAAGTTTGAACTTAAGAAGAAAGTGCTCCAACAAACAAATAGGTCAGGTGTGATAGCATGTATTAGTCTAAGCATTAGTTAATCTAGATCTGTTACGTGTTTATCATTTGCTATCCACTCTGAAACAATGCCATGTTCTTCCCCACTGTGACGGTACTCCTGTGGAAATGATTTAGGGCAGAAGAGTTCAGCTGATGGCCATGGTAAACCCAGTGATGCTCTGCGTATTTGATTCATTTATTTCTCTGTTTGTTGTGTTTAACCTGACTTTGACTGCCGTGTCTAGAGAGAGAACCGCACTCCTCTTTTTTACCTTGTCTGTGCATGTAACGTTTGCCACCCAGGCTCATTGGAGAAACATGCCCAGGGCTACCACCGGGACCGTGAAATACGTGGCCAGGGAAACGTATGCTTGCAGATTTTTTTTTTTCATGAATCCACTAGAGGCTGTTGTGAACATTTGTGATAATCTCAAATACAGATACGATAGTTGTGTAATGTTGCCCTCTCGTGGATGAAAGTGAAGCAAAATGCCGCCCTGGGCGATCGCCCACATTGCCTATGCCTTGATCCCCCACAAGTTAGATGCTGTACAAGACGAGCTACTGAGCAAGCTGATCATGCCAGAAAAGCCGTCCTTAAAGAGATAAGTGACCAGTAGTAGTGCAAAATTTTAAACAGAAGTTGTCGACAGCATCATACCGCTGCTTAGCGTTTGTTTTACACACTAAATGCAGCTGAGCAGCTGATCTCAAATATGTAGCCCTGGGCGCGTATCCCCAATGAGCCTGTGTTGGATGGTTCAGACCTCCAGAAACACCTTCACCTGTCTGCTAAAAACTGTTCGCCTGCTGTGTTTCCGGCTTTTTGTCAAGGCCTCGATTGTATTTCAAGAACACCTTTCTGATTTTATACGGCATGTTCTCTCATGACTGATGATAGATTACTGTGCATGGAATGTACTGATTGATTTTGCCAGTGGTTCTCAATTTCACTAGGTAAACATGGGTGGGTGTTTGTTATTACCAGTTTTAGTAAAGCAAATGATTTTTCTTACTATATTCTTATGATTTTTGTTTATATAAATCCTCATTAGAAACTACCAAGGTATTCTTCTTGGAGTTCAATGAATAAAAGACAAATTTACATTAAACCATCACAATAGAAACCAAAAACAAAACCAAATAAAGAGACATTTGCATTATACTATAACAATAGAACTGGTACGTCATTTTAATGAATAAAGGCATGCAAAAATGCAAATTATTTATATTTATTTAATTATAAATATATTATTTAATTATATAAACAATATAAAATTAAAAATATTGATTTTAAAGGCTGTTTCACCTGAAAATAAAACATTTGTTAAAGGCTAACTTTATTGTTTATTATATATATATATATATATATATATATATATATATATATATATATATATATATATATATATATATATATATATATATATATATATATATATATATATATATAGACACACACACACACATTTAAAATATAAAAATATAACATAAAAATATAAAATATATAATGTCCTTTTTTATATATTGTTATTTATTAACTGATTTATATTACACAATGCTACAGTCTTTTAATAAATAATATATAAATATAGCTTTGTGTAATAAGAAAATTAAATAAATTAAAATAAATTTGAATAATATATATATATATATATATAAAAAGAAATAAATCAAAACGAAACTATATATTTTTTTCAAAGAATAGTTTGAAACTTGAACCAAAATATGAACAGAAATATTAACACTAACTAAGTAATAGTGGACAAATTAGGCTAGAACTTATCACAAATCCACACAGCAAATTAATTCAAATTAAAGCTTAAAATATGAAAAATAAAGATGAAGGATAATTAAAAAATTATAATAAATACAATAACAGTGTAGAAATTAATATTAAAATACATTTTCCTTCGTCTTAGTCTGTAATTTAAAAATACATATATTAATTTCTATATAAACAACAATACGATAAAAACATTGATTTTAAATGGGCACTTTACCCAAAAATTAAACAGTTGTTAAAGGCTAACTTTGTTATTTTTGTTCATCAAAAATATATATATATAAATACAAAATATGTAAATATAAAATAAAAATATATAAAATATATAATTACCTTATTATTTATACAATATTTATTAATTTATATTACTACTGCTACTGTACTGCTACATTCATTTATGAAAAATAAATAAATAAATAAATAAATAAATAAATAAATAAAGATAGCATTGTGATATAAATTAATAAATACATTGAAATAAATTTTAATAAACTACATATAATGAATAAATTATAATGAAATAATATATTTTCTAAAGTAAAATTGGAAATCTGAAATATGAAAAGAAATTATAAAAGTTTAAGAAATACTAATAAGTGATAAACTAGGCTAGAACAAATTACAAATGCACACAATTCAAGTTAAAGCCTATGAAAAATAAAGATGAAGGTCTCTAAAAATAAAGTTTATTAAAATATTAATAATTCCAAAACGGTGTATAAATTAATAATAAAATATATCTAGTGAGACAAAAATTTTACAGTAATACCCCCAGCCCACACTTTGAGAACCACTGGATTATGCAAATGCAGAATACACTAATGATATGCGTGCATTTGATGACTTCACTGTATGTATAAAGACTAGAGTTTATTTAAAGATGCATCTGCATCAAATCTAAGTCAGAATTTTAAGTCCGAATGGTTATTGATAAAAGCATGTTTCTTGTTATTCCCAGCATGCAATGTGCTGTACATCAACTCTGTGGATATGGAGTCTTTGACTGGACCTCAAGCCATCGCCAAAGCCATTTCAGAAACCATGAACGCCAGTCCGGCACCCTCAGCCACCATTGTTCACTTCAAGGTGTCGGCACAAGGCATCACACTCACAGACAACCAGAGAAAGTGAGTTCCTTTCTATTTCAATCACAGTTCATTCAAAATCTGGACATGCTTTATTTATTTGTCCTTTCTGTCAACAGGCTTTTCTTCAGACGTCATTATCCCATCGGCACAGTCACGTTCTGTGACATTGATCCACAGGAGAGGAAGTAAGCGAACACTGAATCATTAAACAAAACACTACAGTCAATGTCATTTAACAAACAGACCTACATGCTAGAGACATCTGGTGGTCAAAACTGTGTAAATGCAACAAACACTCAGGCAATAACTTTTCAACAGACTTTTTCAAGCATATTATTAACTTTAAATTAAAAGAATGTGTTTTTAATAAATTTACAAGCCTTATATATTATTTTATTCCATAGTGGGCTCCGCTAAACAGGCCAAGAAGAGACTATTATTAACTATCATTCCTTTTCATTTTGCAAATGTCTCATTAAAACTTTTACAAACTCAAAAAGTGATCCGAGATCAGGTATAAACTATGAAAATTGTTCTGTGATTCGCCACTAGGGGCAATATGAACAAAGCCGTGGGGTTCATGTGTATTTTATGGTATTACTCAGATCGCCCTCAAGTGGAGAGCCATCATATTTTAGAAACAGTTCGGAACATTATCGGCTTAATAAAGAAACCATGCTGACTGAAATCACTAGACCTTACCAATTTGATACATGCTCTGAAATTAAACAAAAGATTTGTAAAGGTTTCGAGGCTACATGAAGCAGTTTCGAAAACAGCCATCACCGATATGTTGATCTGTTTTCTAAAGCGTATGTAGCACATGTAGTTTATGTAGCCTGCAAAAAAAAACAAAAAAACAATAAAAACAACTCTGCTTTAACATTTCAAGTAGCTTTTGTGAGAAATAAAATGTGAAAATGAAATAACATACTTAATCCAGTTTACAAGTATTAATGTCAGCGTGACATCTAAATGCAATAACTTGCATGGATTGATTTTTCACTTAAAGAATAACAATGTGTGCTAGCAAAATAAACATTCTGCAGCTTTCAGAGGTCATTTGTAAGACTTTTTAAAGACTATTATTAATTGGTTTTTACACCTATACAAGGCTAAACACTAAGGATTTTTTTTTCTAATGGAAAACTTTGGTGATTTCTTAGTCACATCTTTTAAATAATGTGTCAAAACAAGCAAACTCCGGTTGTATAGATGCACTTTAAGCATAACATGATTTGTTTAAAAGTTCTTTGTTTTAACATTGAGTAACTTTTTCTAAGAAATAAAATCTAAAAAATTAAATAATATACTTTATCTGGTTTGTAAGTATTGAAGTCGGCATGGATTCAAAGTAGGGCTGCAACAACGAATTAATCATTAAATCATTTTGTCATTAAAGTCAATTAAATCGAATACTAAAAGCGTTGGCAACGATTTTCATAATTTTCATAATAAGTTTGTTGTGTCGTGCTACACGGGGACGTTTGATTATTAAAAATCACTTTAGTTTAGCGTGGAGTAGAGTGAACACGATCTCTTTCGCGCACTGATACAGAGTGAGACACCAGGGATGAGCAGGAAGGGAGTTCAACAGCTGGTTAAAACACTACAGAATCCTACTTTTGTTCCGTTTGGAAGTGAGGACCGTAAAGTCCCTGGTGGTCATGTTTTACTCGTTATCCAGCATGACAAGTTAGCGTTTGCTCGTTTACCTTTAGAGCGGCAACTGAGAAAATCAAACTGAGCAATGTCTGGTGCTAAGCCAGAGAGTGTTCTGCTTTTTATGAATGAGGCAAACGCGCAGCCGCAAGTAAACATGGCGACGACGATCCCACGCTATAGATCACGATCACTTTCACGTTTATGTGAACTAGTAAAACTTCCGTTTGAGATTATTACTCATTAAGATTATTTTTATTAGCCAATTCACATATAATTTAACTTGTTTTAAGCAAACAATCACTTTTTTTCCAGAAAAAAAGACTATTTGTCTAGTATGTATCATTATTTAAAAATATTTTGATATTCCCTTACTCAAAATGTAATAACTTGCGCAGATTAATTGTTCACCTACAGAGTAACAATGTGCACTAGCAAAATAAACATTTAGGCTTCCTGCAGGCTTCATCAAGTCAAATGTAAGACGTTTTAAGACCATATTTATTATTATTATTATATTATTATTAATGAAATTTCAGACTTAAAATGGGCTAAATGCTAAAAAAATTCAAATGGAATTTTTATTTTATTTTATTTGTTACTTTTATTCAAACACTAAGATTTTTTTTCTAATGGAAAAGGAAAAGATTTTTCCCATCAATTTTAGTGCTTTCTTAGCCACATATTTCAAACAATGTGTCAAAACAAGCAAATGCTGGTTGTATAGATGCACTATATATATAGACAGTAATTTTAAACCATAAATAAAAATTCAGACTTGTACTGAGCTAAATACCAAGAATTTTTTTTCTAATGGAAAAGGACAAGGTTTATGCTATCAACTTTAGTCATTTCTTAGCCACATATTTGTCAAAACAAGCTAACATTGTTTGAATAGATGCACTATATATAGATAGTAGTTTTAAACCCTGTAATAAGATAAATGTATGTGCAACAGTCTGTCCAGGTCTGTGTCCCCACCATAAACAAACGGAGAGCTTTTAAACAAATGTTATTGTAAGGAAGATAATTAAACCATATTGGCAGATACAGTTAAAAATATAAGTTTCGTTAAAAGTTCTATTGAGATGGATTGCTGGTGATTGGATGGGTGTCAGCCCGATTGAGTAGCTTTTCATGGACATAGGAAAATTAAGACTTGTTTTAAATGATTTAAGACCTACAACAATATTTTGGTAAGTTTAAAACTTTAAGGCTTTCTAATTTTAATTTTGAAATTTAAGACAATTTAAGGCTTTATAAGACCCTGCGGACACCCTGATGTTGTCAATTTTGATTTCACACAGACTTTAGGGACAGCACTCGTAATATTTAAATACAGTATAGTCAACATTCGATCATTACTTTTCATCAAACTTGTCATCAAATGCAATATTGTTTTAGGACAAGTTTGAAAAGCTTTAATGGTGACTACTGTAGAGTTCCTAGAAATGTTTTTATACTGTAAAAATCATGCATTGTTCTTATGATTTAATGATTCTATGTTGTAGTTGGCCAGGATGAAACATTTATAATCTGATTTAATGTCGTTCCAGGTGGAACAAACCAGAGGGTGGCACTGCCAAGTAAGTACCAGCTTTTGAAAACAAAGAACTCAATCATTTGCTGCCGTTTGGATATGCATCTCAAGCTCAAATTTGTTTTGATCATGGGTTTCATGATAAATGAGGGAGATTGTAGTGTTTGCGGTCTCAGCTATCAGCACAAAACCTGGCGCCAGTTTGCAAATCTCACACACGTGTGGCAGGATTTACCCTCAGAGGCCATAGTACATACGTGACGGAAACATGCTTAAACCTAGAAATATTTAGTTATTTTACATGGCTCATATTATCTGTGTGCAATGATATTTGCAACACGGATTCATTGGGAATACATGCTATGGGCTACTTAAAGATACACTACCTGACAAAAGTCTTGTCGCCTATCCAAGTTTTAAGAACAGCAAATAATGACTTCTAGTTGATCATTTGGTATCAGAAGTACCTTATATGAAAGGCAAAGGCCTCTAAATTATGCTTATTTTACCAAAATAAAATGATCCTGCCTTGATTTTAATTATTTAATTAGCACAGTAAAATCTGACTTTGCTTAGACAAAAGTCTTGTCACCCAATAGAAATAATGTACAGTATAGAATATGAAGTCATGCTGCAGTGGAAAAAGAATGACCAATGTTTATGACTCCCATGAGCTTGGAGGTCTGCATTCATACATCTCTGCAATGACTCAAATAACTCATTAATAAAGTCATCTGGAATGACAAAGCTTTCTTGCAGCACTCCCAGAGTTCATCAAGATTTTTTGTAATCATCTTTAATGGCTCCTCCATCTTACCGCAGACATGCTCAGTAATGTTTATGTCTGGTGATTGGGATGGCCAATCCTGGAGCACCTTGACCTTCTTTGCACGCCCCCATACTGAATGTAACCCACATTAGATTTTTCCTTCGCCAAACTTGTCTGATTTCTGTAAGAATCTTGGGTCCATGAGGGTTCCAATAGGTCTTTTGTATTTTTGTATAGTATTTTGTGATGATTAGGATGCAGTTCAACAGATGATTTATGGGAAAAATGTATCTTCTGCCACTTTTCCAAATGATCAACTAGAAGTCAAGTTACAATTGGGATCAATGACAAGACTTTTGTCAGGTAGTGTATTGAGTGCAGTTTCAAGGTTAAATGAACAATACATGACGACTAAAAAGGTTTGTTCCTTTTCACACTAATGATATTTCAGGGACACATTATCGACAAATAAATGATCACAACACCAAATTAATAAAGCAAAACAACTTAATGTCTATTATTTGTTATTAAACAGGTTTGGTTCATCTATCTCCATTAAAACCACTTTTTTTTCTTCTGTAAGCTCAATTCCACAAAACAGAGAAAAGCTATGCAAAGTCAAAGTAAAACTGTGGTCACAGAGCATATTTGGCTTACGTTTACTCTTGAAAACATTTTTGGTTGGGTTTAAAGGAAGGCTTTGGTCAGTGGTTCGCTGGTCTTTGTGATCTGTACGACATGATTTCACTGCAATCTGTGACTTTTTTATTTAGTAGCTAGTTTGTATAAATTCGTACGATCTCATTCATATAATTTAGTACGATTTGCTTGTCCCCCAATGACAGTTGGGTTTAGGGGTTGGGTTGATTGAGAAGCCTCCTTTTTAAAATCGGACATTTTTTTGTGGGACTGAACCTATACGAATTTGTACGAATTAGCAACTAAACTGACAAAACATAAAACAGTTACGTTTCCTTGTGAGATCAGACTGGATCTGTCTGAGAAACTCTACCTTCTTGTAGTCGTGTACAAGAAGGATGTGTATGTGAAACGTACAATTCATATCCTAAGTAACATATTTCAGATTTGCAAAAATATAGACAGCACCCTCTTGTGGATCTAAAAAGTGCAGTGAATCGTACCCAGAGCAACATATTTTAGATTTAGCCAAAGTTTAGGCAGAGGCACATATTTCCATTAAGCTTGAGCTGGAAATCTCACAATTCAAGCTTTATTATTTGAGCTCAGAACTGAATTTAAACAGTTGGAGTTGACATAACAGAGAAAAAAAAAACTTGGAAATGAAAAATGGAAAAAACCTCAAAATTGCAAGATATAAATCAGAAAAAAAGTCAGAACTTTGTAATGTAAACAGAATTTGTTGAACACAGCTCTGAATTGTGGCATATTAATTAAGAATATAGATAGAAATGGTGCAATTTTGAGATGATTTGAAAGCTTTTAAGGAATAAAAGGTAAGGTGTGCAATTTACAGTACACTAAAATGTCAGATATTAACTTTATTACCTGAAAAAGAAAAAAAAAGTCTGAAAAGCACGTTAATAGTTCATCACTTTGAGAGAGAGAAAAAACTTATAAGATGACAAGTAGCAATTATGTGTTTTATTATGTTTAACATAATAAAGCATAACAAACAGGCTCTAGTGAGAACCAGATTTTCTTTGCTCTTATGAGATTAAAGTCTCCTTTTCTATAAACCATTATTATATTATTCTTAAGAGGGAAATAATATGATAAAAAACAAAGCATCACCCTCTCACACCGAATCTGATCAGATCTCTAAATAAATGCTAGAGTTTTGGGGCGATTGGGCATGTGACGGCCCTCACGGCTTTCGCTGGCAGAGTTTGAAAGAGATTATTGGGGTTGTGGTGCTAAGGTCTACAGAGGAAGAATAGATCATTGGACTGGGCTCAGGATGAAAGCATGTGATGTTAGAGGCACCAGAATGTGAAGATCATTTCTGCTGTTGTGGATGAGGGAATGACAATTTTATATTACATGTAAAAGCACTACAGAATGAAAAATGCTGCTGGGTATATATGTTCAGATCATGTGAGAAGAGAACAGGGTAGTTTAATAAACATGTCAGAGCACATATGACAAATACAGCTACGATATATGATAAATTTAACAAGTCAGTAGTGTCGAAGCAAGTGAAAGATCCAGAAGGGCATCCTGCTGATTTGATTCAGAAAGGCACTTTTTTTGTCAGACGGCTTTTTGTCATTCGTTTTAAAAAGCACCTGGTCCATTTTATTTGTATATGCTTTACTCTAACTCATAAACTCTACATGGTTAGATGTGGAGCTAACAATCAGATTCACTCTAGTGAACTGCATCCATGTTAGCACGTCACGTTTGATGTGGTAATTTAACTGTAGGAATACACACAGGTTCGAAGATTCTTTCTTGCCACCTACAGTGCAATTCGGCCAGGTATACATCCCTGCTAAGATATCAAGGTGAAAGTAATCATAGCTTGTGTGAAATTGACCCAGCTCCCAACCCAACTTTAAGAATAGATTAACGGCGATATTTTTTGTTGCGCGATGAGTCTCGCGTAAACAGGCTGATAACAGTCTCGCGTATAACAGGTTGATGGCCGCTTACACGCTGAATCTCCGAAATGATAACAATTTAAAATAGGCACTATCTTTATAAATAAACTGCAAAGTTGCGTAAACTATAGACGCAAAAGTACATTATGTTGTCCAACCGCTGCAATATTTGTCAAACTGTAGTGAGTTTATTGATCTGCTGTCACTATAGGCCCGTTTACACTAGTGCGTTTTAGTTTTAAAATGGCCTTTTAGATCAAAAAAGTCCGCATCCACACTAGTGTTTCACCTAGCGTCTCTGAACATATCTCCGTTCACACTACACCACCAAAAATGTATATCACGTGACCATTCGCGCACTCTGGGCATGCGCGTTCTAGTATAAACAGAAAGCATGCGTCTCGCTTGGCATTTGGTTATTATTAGTCAACAAACACCGGTTAAACATTAAACGCGATGGCAAATAAAGCAAGAGAGGTATTTTTGTGGACAGACGACGAGGTCGAGTTGTTACTAAACGTAACAAATGAATCACTGCACAATGGCGCCTAAAACAGACAATAGTGCAAACAACGCTCCCATTTCTGTGCCCATGTTGTTGTTTACAGTACTGTCTTCCGGTAGTGTTAAAGCCATGTGTTATAGTCAAGTGATAGGGACTTGACGAAAAAGAGAAGGATACGCAATGACACAAAAGGCCCAATCAGGTAGCGAATCTCAGCAGTCCCTCCTCCGTTTTCAGATGTCTCCGTTTTTCCTCATCCACACTGAAATGGAGCAGCAGTGTTTTAGAATGAAAACCGCCTCTCCAGCGTTTTCAAAACGCTCCGTTTTCGGCGCTCGAGAACTCCGGCGTAGTGTGGACGGATGGCGTAAGCGGAGCAAAACTTATGCGTTTTAAAACGAAAACGCATTAGTGTAAACAGGGCCTATGCAGACAGAGTAATACACAAGAGTGAAGAAGCTCTTGTTCTGTTAAACATCACTGAATAAATATATATAAAAAATAATACTAATAACAATTTATTGGAGAGCTAATTGTTCTAACTTTCTAAATTTTAACCCGCTCTTAATTTCCCAAAATGTATATTTGTTTATTAATGGATTGATTCTGCATATTAAGATTTTTTTTTTAATCTTCATTACAGATTCTTTGGCTTTGTGGCTAGAAAGCAAGGCAGCACGACAGACAATGTCAGTCACCTGTTTGCTGAGATGGACCCAGATCAGCCGGCCACCGCCATCGTCAACTTTGTCTCTAAAGTGATGATCAGCTCTCAGAAGCGGTGAAGCTCTTCACGCAGCACTGCTTTCCAGAGGACACTTTCCTTTCGCTCTCTTTGGATTATATTTTGAGTTTCTGTATGTTTGGGCTGTGTGTGAATGTGAACGTGAGGAAGGGCTATTGGGACGGCAGTGAGGATGATGGACAGAGGAAGTGCAGAGTGGGTGAAGAGGAGTGACGTACAGTATGGATGGGAGGTGATCTTCATCTCGGAGCAGCAGATGTGGGAATGATGTCAGTGATTTTGTTGCTTTTTTTAAGAAAAAAAAAGGAAATGTAAAAAAAAAAAAAGAAGAAGTTAAGGAGGTTAAAATGTGGGGCTGATGTACCAAAGATAAGAGAGCGGTCAGGATGAACCAATCGTTATTCAAGCATTCTTGTATATCTAGAAAAAAACCACGGCTGCTTTGTTAAAACTGTACATATGAACCGAAGCATCACCTCTTTTCTTTCTGAAAGCGGCTCTAGTTTCTGACGCTACAAGTGCAAGACTTTTTTTCCCCCAAAATCTGGATGAGTTAAAAACTTTTAAGGGATTTTACAGGTAACTTGCACATAAGCTAAAAGTAAGTGATTCATCTCCATTCACTTAAAGGGGTACAGTTCACCTAAATATATAAATGACCTCATTTTTACTTCTGTTGAATACAAAACAAGATATTTTGAAGAATGATGGTTGCTGCCACCAATTGACCTCCATAGTATTTTTTTTTCTTACTACAGAAGTTAATTGGTGCCAGCAACCAGCATTCTTTAAAATATGTTCTGTTGTTTTCAACAGAAACACAATTGAAAAATACTTAAATAGGTGAAGAGTGAATAAATGATGACAGACTTTTTATTTTTTGGGTGAACTTTCCCTTTAAGGTCAATAAATACTGTATGCAGTAAATATTTCTTTGCTCATGAAGGTGCAATGGAACAGTGCATGTATAGTCAGATTCTAGATATTAGTCGCTAATGTGTTGCCATAATTTTTGGACGTAAGGAAATAATGTGGTGATGCCATTTCGTAAACTGTCAACAAATGTATGTATAGATTATATTTGCTTTTAAGTTAATGTCTATATCTAAGCATAACTCACATTTCTTTATATAGCACTTCATAAAATGCTGATTTTGGTAAAGTAATCTCTTGGTAAAATCGGCAAAGAAGAAAAGGCATCATTATTAAACTCACTCTGTAAAAAAGATGACAAAGTCATAACAACAAATATTTGTCACTTTCATTTTAATCAGATTTGAACTAAACATGTTTTTCAGTTATACAAAGTTTACCCTAATGTTTTAGATTATGTTGTGATGAGTCAAAGTTCAGTTAATTCAACTGAGAAAAAAAATGACAGCAACAGTTTTAGTTTAATAAACAGTGTCAGTTTTGCAGAGTTCTATAAAAAAAAAATTCTAACTGTGAAGCAACTTTTAAACAAGACAAATCATTATTTAGCCTAGCCCAGTTTAGCTACTCATTAAGTCAACATTAATTCAGTTCACTTACTGTCAGTTGCAAAGTTCTTCATTCATGAAATTCATTTCAATAAATTTGAATTTTAAAGCAGCTTTTTTATATAAGAAAACAATGGTGTCATTATATCACCCAGTTTATTCCAATTTTATTCCAAAACAACTCTATCTGGGATCAAGAAATCACAACAGTGGACTGACTTTAAATAGCTTTCTATTGCACTTTCTGCACTGTAAAAAGTGATTAGTTACTTAAAGCGAGTAAACCAATTGCCTAAAAAGCAACATGTTGACTTTACAAACATAATCTAACTAAACCCATTGTAACTTGGAACTGTTAAGTTTTTAAAAATAAAAGTAAACTAATTCCTTTTTCCTCAGTACACTTATATATATATATATATATATATATATATATATATATATATATATATATATATATATATATATATATATATATATATATATTTATTTTTTTTTTCCTCAGCTTTTTTGTATCTAGCAAATTGACAAATCTGCTCTAAAAGACTACAGTGTGTCTTCTAAATTTAATACAGGCTATAACTGTAGATTTTACAGACTTAATAGAGCTCCAAATATGTAATATTGTGATACACTAATTATATGAAAACAGAAATGCTAAAATAGTCTGACACTGTAAAACTGTGTTAGTTGACTTTTAAAAAAGTAAGTACAATTTGCATAATTATAAAAACCAGGTCAATTTAAAAGGTCCAAGTGACAATGGGTTTTTACTTACATTATTTTTGTAAAGTCAACTTGTTGCTTTTTAACCCAATTTGTTTACTCACTTAAAGTTATTAATCACTTTTACAGTGCGAGTGGGACTACTTGTAATTTCTAAACTGATTGGAACACAAAACATATCTTCTCAAGATTGTCTATGCATGTATCCAGCATCACTTTTCAGCTCTTGGTCTTCACTTGTAGTGTTCATAAGCAGCCGCAGTGCTCTCTTCTCTTCAGGTTTGAGTGTGTGTATCGTTGTGTATCAGACAGAAAAGTGTGGATCTGTCACTGTATCTCTATGCCTCGCTTAGAACACACTCACATTCTACCCCAAAGTAAGCTAAGTTTAAATATATAAATATATATAAAAACAACAAAAAACACATCAAAAGCGATTTTACTGAATATTTATTGTATTATTATGTTTTTGCTACTTGTTTCCTTTACGTTAACTCATTTACCCATAGATATATTGTATAGTCTACATAAAGATTAGCCTCCAAAAGAAATACTCTTTATTTTTTGGGCTAATGTTTCAAAATCGATAATGATGTAAAGTGTGTGTATTTGGAAAACTCGTCATTATTGGATATGTTTCTTTTTCTTTTAGATCGCTTTAAAGTAGAGCTCACTGTTGCTTTGGCGGGATTGTATCCTAAAGTTCCTTCAGATAAAGTGAGTTGATTGATATGTTTACTGAAAGAGACTTTGTGTAAAGAAAAGCAAGGAAGCGTCTTTATTTTTGTAATATTGTTGTTATTATTACTTTCCTTTTGGCGTCGTGTCCCTCCCAGTATTCAGCTCTCGATGAAATCCATTTTTTTGGCGGATCACAGCGATTCTGTCATGGCAGAAGTCAGTATTTTGTGTTATACTGCCATCGTGAGGCGATGTCGGGTATTGTCAGCCATATTATCAACTATGCATTCTCTACAAATCCCTTTTAGATATCCCCGGATCAGTTCTAAATTTAGATTAAAAGTAATACTGCAGTGTTTTAACTGTGATTTGCGGAGAAAAATCCCCATTAAGCCCGCGTCGCCCTTAAAACTTTTTTGCTTTGTATGTAAATACATTTTTTTTGGTTTGCCAAAGATTTTATTTCACGTTTGTATGCCTTAGTTTGATGATCACTGTCTGGTCGTACGCAAAATGGCGGCATGTTGTTTTTAGCATGGAGCTGGTCTGTTTTGACTGCACATGCTAAATGTTTTACTGTTTTTGGTTCCCGTTTGGTTAGCCTTAAAAAAAACTACTCCAAAAGATTGCAAAGCACTTAATGATCAAGAGCTGAAAAACAGCAAGAAAGTCTAATAGGACTGCTTACATTTAACAGCAGCACCATGTTTACACTGGAAGCGTCCAGTGGCTTGAGATTGTGTACACTGGAAGCTCGAGGCCATACGCTTTAATCATAATACAATCTGTGGAAGATATAATCTTATTTTAAAATCTTATTTCTTTGCATGGGTTTTAAAATAGCAACGTAGCCTCGTTTGTAAGAGTTGTGCAGAATGTGCGCATGCATTGGCTCTTTTGCAGAGGCACAACTGCAAATTTACTGAGGGGTATGCGGGATCAAGTTTTGCCCCCAAAATATTTCCATCAATAAATTGAGGATATTTTTTAATGTGCTTCAAATAAATACCTTTCACAGTTCTAAACACAACCTAAATAATATTAAGTAGTAAAAGTATAAATTCACTACACTGCAAAAAATGCTTTTCTTAATTACATATTTTGTCTTGTTTCTAGTCCAAATATCTACAAATTCTTAAATCAAGACTTTTTTAGACAAGCAAAACGTATAGTCTTGTTTTAAGAAAAAATACGCCAAAATGAAGTGAGTTTTTCCTTAAATCGAGCAAAATAATCTGCCAGTGTGTTAAGCAAAATAATCTTGTTTTTCTATTTGTGATAAGATTATTTTGCTATCCCCATTAGCAGATTATTTAGCTTGATTTAAGAAAAAATTCACTTAACTTTGGCATATTATTTCTTAAAACAAGGCAATATGTTTTGCTTGTCTAGAAAATTCATCTTGATTTAAGAACTTTTTGATATTTGGACTAGAAACCAGAAAAAAATCTAAGTAAGAAAAGTATTTTTTTGCAGTGTAAGCATGTTAAGTCACAAAGACGTACATCTCGTCCCACCCCAAATTTCTTCTCAATTTCATTTTCCCCACTAAATGATTATAGCACCTTGACATGCCTTGTTTTTGTACTTTTTGTACAACATTTGTTAAAACAAAATGATAGATATGGGAGTCCTAAAGAGAAAAAGAACTTGAAAATGCAATCACTTCTCACATGCTTACTGTGAGAGGTGTAAGTTCTGTTTTTGCATGAACAATTGACTGAAACTGCTATTATACCTCACACAAAGTGAAATAAACAAAAGACTGTAAGATGTTTAGTGTAAAAAATAAACAGAGACCAACTGCCTGAAATGTTAAATTTTATTAAAAACGGTTATGGGCAAACTTTTTTGGAACTAAAATTAAAAAAAAAAAAAATTACCAAATAAAAAAAGGCCTCATGTTTCAATATAATAAATAATACATTTATTAAAAAAAAAAAACATGTATATGGTATAAAAATGGATCTTGATAGAAGGATTAATTAACATTTCAGTTTCAAAAAATGCGAACATTATGACTATTTATTAAGAAATCTTCATCAAATGGTCAGTCAAATGATTGACGGAGTGGAAGGGGTGGTATGATTTTTTTTTTATTAATAAAGTACAATATTATACTCCTATAAAATGCAAAATAAACATGAATATTTATTTTGATTATTTAAAACTTTTAAATTCAAAATTAGTTTTGGCACAATGGTGCCCCTCCATGTGTGGAGCCCCTATGCGCCGCATATAGTGCATAGCCCCTATTTGCACCTCTGCTCTTTTGTAAACACTGCATTTAATTCACGTTCATAACAAAATTTTGAACAGCTAATTTGGCATGTTATAAGTAGATGAAGCAAAAATTCAACAACTGTTGCTTCATAAGCAACCCTAAGGCATCAATGTAACAAATCAAGATTTAAATTAGTAAGGAAAGCAAAAATGAAATCTGTTTTGAGTCTGTTCAGATATGATCCGTCTACTTTTGTTGTGCCGGATGCTTTTGGTGTAGACATGGTGTAAAAGTGATTAGGTACACTAAAATTTATATATATATTTACTTGCTTTGCTTGCCTTTCTGGATGTTTCACACAGTGTAGGCTTAAATAAACCATTTCCTCAAACCACACTGATGAGGTTTTTCCATTTATCTCAAACTATCAGTCAGAGAATTATTTGGTTTCCCACCGAAATCAGCTCTCCACTCCTCCATGTATTAGTCAGCAGTGTTGTATTATTATATATATATTTTTACATGTCCACTTTGTTAGAATGTGTGAATGAGCTACTATTGCTGTACAGAACCACATTGTTTTATTTTGCTTCTTGTTTTACAGCCTCGTTGTATTGGTTTGGCTAAAAAAATAAATAATATACATTAAAGAGCGATCCAAATCAGTTACATTAAAGTACACTGTTGCTAGAAAGGTGTCCTGTTTTGTGCATTTCTCAGATGCTAAGCTGGTGATCGCTAATGCGCAGGAGGTGTAGCGACTTGTCACACTGCATTAGCAGCTCTGAATGCAAGGTATTTGCTTTTACTGATGCAATTCTCACAGTATCAATCATACCAAGCCTCTTTTCCTTATAGGAACATTAATTATAAACTTGCACACTAAGAAACCTTGGAGGAAGGTCAAACACTAGATTGGTTGTGCATTATTTCTAAGTCCCTTCCTCATTGCAGGCACACCATTTATGAAGGCTTAGAAAGGATGAAATATAGTAACAAAATGTATTTGATCTGACGTCTATTGGCCTTAAATCAAGAAATTTGGGCATTTAGAGGCCAATGTGTCCAGATGTACACGTTTAAGTTCGTACTGAAAATGATTTTGTTATAAGCTTCATGCTTCCATTCATGCAGAAGTGGAAAAAATATCCAAAATATCACAAATAACAGTATACAATAATGTTGTATTAATTAATGTTAATTAATGTATTTACTAACTCACACAAGCAATAAACAGCACAATTATCACAGCATCTGTACGTTTTTGTTAGCGTTAGCTTATGGAAATACATTTTTTTTTTGTTTTAAATATTGCATTAGTAAATGTTGAACTATGATTAATAAATGCTGTACAAGTGGTGTTCATTATTAGTGCATGTTAATACATTAACTAACATTAATTAATGAAACCTAATTGTAAAATCTGACCAGATCAGACTTTTATAGCCAAGGAAGTTGGGAAAGCTCTTTTTATTTAATGTTATGAGGTGTTCGCATACAGACTATAAAATATTAAT